ATAGATTTTTATATTAAATAAATTTTTATTTTAAAGCTAAAACTTAAAAAATTTTAGAAAAAACATTTTTATTTAGAATGTTGTTAAATATCACAGGTTAATATAACCGACCAATTAGATCAAAGGATCTTGTACAACAAAAATAAACAAAAATTAGAAAATTTTAAATATCTTAAAATTTTATTATATAAACTAGTCTTGGCTTCTAATTTAAAATTTTCAGCTTTTAATTTTGCATATATATATATATATATACACTCTAACCCTAACTCTAATACTAGCTCGAACCCTAACCCTAACTAATCCGAATGTTAATTTTTTTTTAAATATTAACCTGCGATATTTAATAAAATTCTTTATTTAAATCTCTTACTAGATAATTTACTAGTTTTTAAAATATTTAATACATAAATATAAACTGTGTTTTATTAATAGATAAAAGTAATAAAAATAATTAAAATAATTTTAACATTTTACTTTAATTTACTAAATATAGTATCTGAACAGTAATTTTATTAATAATCTAACTCGACTACGGGATGTCCTCCGATTAATCACGTGATAAATCGATAATATTTATTTTTAAATGGAAAAGAAATTTTTATACGTATTTAAGTTATAATATCAGATATTTAACATTAAATATAATATATAATTTTACAATAAACAATGGTTTTTAATAGCACAACCACGTTCAAAAATACTCAAATGGCAATTCTTTTTTTATCATCAATGAAAGAGAAGAGATTAATTACTTAAAGTGTATTGGTATCGGTATACAATATTAAATAATACTTTATAAATATTACATAATTTTTTATTTGTTTTATTTTTTACATAATAATAAATACGACTAATCAAATAAAAATTTATCTTGATGATGCTTTACGATTTTTAGTAAAGATAAAGGGTTTTTTTTTTTATAAACGTTTTTAAAATCAATGAATCAAAACATTCTTATCATTACCCATTGTTGATTAAATGACGAAATTTTTGATCTAAAAACACTATTTTTTTTTGATAAGATTGATCTAATCCAACATATTTTTTTTAGAAAAAACGTTATCAAACATCTTTTTTGTTGTATTGTAACTGTACTCTTACTAGCCACTTTTTTTTTATTCAAAAAATATTTTTTTTAAAACGTTTAATGGCTTGAAACTCTTTGTGATAAAAGTTAATTTTTATCACAAAAATAAAATTTTGAATTTTAATTATAATAGTAATTATATACGAAATTAAATACTTACCTATTAAGTAAGTAAATGTGAATACGTAAAGTACGTAAGAATACGTAATATTATCTATTCCATTTTAGGTTTTTTTTTTTTATTGAAAAATTTACTAGATAAAGTAGAAAGAGGACAAATTTGGAAAAAGAATAGCAACGTTAAATTTACATAATAAATTTTCACCTTCACATTTTTTTTATCATTTCTAAACTCCGTAAAGATTATTAAATACTTTTGGATTTTGTATTGAATCTATGTTAGGTTTAGCGTATTATATCGGTTTGAAACAAATTTAGGATTAGAATCAGATCAGTTTTTAATCAAGAACGTTTATGTAATTAAATAATTATATATTATATAATAAAATTAGAAAGAATTTCTTTTCAAAAAAAAAAAAAAAAAAAATCAAATTTAATCAAATTTACTTAAACATTACGATAAAAAAAAAATTTTTTTTTAAAAGAAAATGAAGAAATTAAGATCGATCACAACAATAATTTTAATATTTTTATTATATTTTTTCATGATTCATCCTAATTTTGGATCGACCAAAGGAAAAAAGATAAAACTTTCTAAATGTAAAACTCGGGCAATCGTTCGATTCTATCCACAACATAATTCAGAAAACCTCTATGGATTAATTATATTTACAGAAATTTTTCCAGGAAATATAACACAAGTTGATGGAATGTTTTTAGTAAGAAATGGATTGGATGGATTAAAAACGGATGAAGGGGAATATATTTATACGGTAAAGCTTTATCATGAAGATAAAATGATGTATGATTTAACTAGACCAGTAATTAATGGAGCTATCGAATTTAATACGCGTGTACCGAAAACTGCGAATCTAACTATTTGTGGGGAAAAATCAATAATAGGAAACAGAGTGATAATAAATAAAGGAGATACGGAAATTGCAAAAGCGGATATTGCGGCATTGGATGAATTTAATCGTTATAAATCTTATTAAAATATATAGCAAAGATTCCAAATATATTTTAATTCACACATACATACATACATACATATATATATATATATATATATATATATAGTTTTTTATATAATTAATACTACTATGTGATCACATAAATTATATGTAATATCATATTTAACTTAACTTACAGAGGCTTGAATAATAATAAAAATCGAATTAACGTTAATTAAATTAATCGAATAATAAAGAGGAAAAAAACCATGCAAGTTATGTGAAAATCAACATAAATGCATCTGAAATTTCATATTTCTAGGTGCATGGTCCCGTATTACAAAAAGAACTCCTTGTAATTATAATATATATATATATAATTCTTGCATAATCAAACATGTTTCACACGTAAATGTAAATATTTTATTCTCACGAAAAAAGTACGAAAAAGTACGAAGAAGTATGAAAAAGTATGAAAAAGTATGAATTATACCTGTCATTTGACCAAAAAATTTTGTAGTCACGATGAATTATATTGATCGAGATATATTTATTTTACCCCACACAAAATATAGACACCCCACCGTTTGGCGTATGTCTTTTTAAAGTCAATTGATCAACGCAGGTCACATCTACAGTCATAAGGTAAAAAGATTTACCAAAATTTCTTCTAATTTCGTTTAATGATAACAAAATTAAAGCGTGTAAATATCATGAAGTTTTTTTTTTTTTTTAAAGTAAATCAATTTAGTCAAATCTAGACTTGTAAGAAAAAAAATGCATGTTTGACACAAAAGAAGTTAAAAAAGGTATTTTTTTTTAAAAGAATATTTGTTGATCTTAAATTATTTTAGGTATTTTAAATCTCTCATAGTCATTTACCTAATTCGGTGGGATTTATTTCGGTGAACTCCTAGAATATTTCTATCTCCATAATTTCCCTATTTGAAAATTAAATTACTTTTGATTTTCTATTCTAAAAATGTACATCAAAAAATTTTATTATATATGATCAATTACTAAAGTTATATATAAAAATTTAGCGTTACAATTTCATAATAGCTTTAATAATATCTATTGTTAAGGGACAAACAAAAAGAAAATTCAGGGAAATGATAGGTTTCATAATGAGATGAAAATAAAATTATTAATAACTTTTTTGAAGGTTATGTGATCCATTTTGATCGGCTAATTTACTCCAATACTTTATCTACAAGCCACAAACTGTATAATGAGTCAAGTTCGGATGAGTTAAATGTAAACAGTACATAAAAATGTGTAATCTTTAGTACCAATTATCAACTATTATTTAAGTATTACTTTTGATGCGTTCTAAATTGGATACTCGTAGTTTTCCGTAGTTTTTTTTTTTCTACATGGTTTTACATGTATTACAAAAGTCTTACATAGTATTACATGGTTTCGCATTGCATCGTACAATAATATTTTAGTAAATACTTACTATTTTTATATGGCGCATAAGTCTGGCGCTTTTATTGATGTTATTAAATGTTATTAAATGTTATTAATGCGTGTTTGCACATCCAAAAGTTTTAAGATCGTACGTACTTATCTGTTATGTACTTACAAGTACTTATCTGTTATGTACTTACACGTACGTATTTTATTTTGATTGGTACTTTTTTTTTATGTTAAACGGCAAAAATTTAAGATTTGGACTTTTTAGTAAAAGAAGAAAGTTTAGGAGGGAAGAATTTTTTTTTATAAAACATGTTTCGAAAAGGAAATTCAAACGATCAACGAGATCGATTTATTGGTTTTTTTTTTTCTCGATCATTATAGTATTTTCTCGATCATTCATTTATTAACAATTCCATAATTCATTTATCATTATTCATTAAAAAATTCATTAGAAAATATGACATTTTTTTTTCTCTGGCAAAAAATCTGAATTTCCGTACTTTTATTTGACAAAAATGAAACATTCGGACAAAATAGATAAATATATATATATATAAAAAAATGATAAAATAATAAGGCAAAAAAAAAAAACCAATAAGAAAATATATAGAAAAAAAAAAAAAAATTGGCAAAACTAAAATGGCAAGATTGGCAAAATCTGAATATAACGTAAAATTGGCAAAAAATCGA